AAAAAAAAAAAAAAAAAATGACATTAAAGAATATCATATTGTATGTGTGTTTCTTGTACTTTTTTCACTCTATTTATTTACTTATGAAATAACCTTTGCTATTTTATTTATGTGTCTTGCCTGCATATGTATCTGTGTACCACCAGTGTGCTGGTGGTCTCAGAAGCCAGATGTCATTGGGTCCCCTGGAATTGTGGGTACTAGGAATTAAAGCTGAGTCCTCTGTAAGAGCAGCAAGAGTTCTCAACAACTGAGCCATCTCTCCAGCCCCTTACTAACCTTTACTTTTTTTTCCCGTTTGTTTTGTAAGGAAAGAAAAAGAGGCATAGAGTTGGATAGGTGGGAAGGATCTGGGAGGTGACAGGGGAGGGGAAACCACGATTAGAATATGTTGTATAAACTTAAAATAAAAACAGAATGTCATTTAGATAATATATTTCCTAAGGTGATCAGAATGAGTGGAATGAGTTAAAATACACTATCAAACAGTGACACTGGGTATCTGAAAACCATTGATGGGACTTTGAGAAGCTAGCACAAGCCTCCTATCATGTTCTTTCCCCTCCCAGGAAATCTCAAGCTAATATTAGCTTTCCTGCTCTGCTTCCACTTCCACTGTTATGGAGCAAAAGGAACAAGAATGCAAGCACTTACAGCCTGGTAGAAGGAATTCGCTATTCTAGAACCCCACCCTCCCACCTCTATGGTTTTCTTTTTTTCCCCCCCAGACAGGGTCTTGTTATGCAGGCCAGGTTGACCTTGAACTCTCCATCCTCTTCCTTCAGTCTCTCACATGCTGATTAGGACCTCCTCCTCCTTGCTTTCTCATGCACATTGAGGCTCCTGGAGGTTTTCCAAGAATCTGTAGATTCTAATCCTTCCATTTCCTACCTACCTCCATAATCACTGTTAATGTAAAATGTAATACTTCATCAAAGCATGCTTTGTTCCTCCAGTTACTCTTTGAACCATCATTTTGATAACTATCAGAGTGAAATTAGTTGACAATAAGAGCCGTGGCATCTGCAAAAATACCTAACAGTGCTACTAGAAATATACATTTTGAAACCTTAGTTGGGTTTTATTTGCAATTTGTGAAATCCACAGAACCCCATTCCATAAAGTAGAGCAGTGTTGTTGTGAGTAGAGGAGTCTGGCAGCATAGACAGAAGCGGATTGAGGAGAGCAGGATTAGAACAAGCAGGATTCCAGTCTGTTGGGGTAGTTTCCCCGTGAAGGTCACAGAATGGGAGACTTTCCTAGATCGGCTAAAACTCGATTATATGAGAATGTGACTATTTCTTACTTTCTATCCTGATTTTTACCAAGGACAGATAACTTGGTTTCAAGTTTGATGGCACAGGACTTTGGCTGACTCCATGTTAGTCTAGCCTGGTATGTGTGATACCGATGCTCTGTCCAGACCTGTGTCCTACCAATGTTTCTTCTTTACAGTGACAAGGACCATGAAAGTCATGAACTTCAGGAGAGACCCAACTAGTGTCTTTTTCATTTGTTTTGTTTCTTCTTCTTTCTTCGAGACAGGGTTTTTCCTGGTAGCCTTGGCTGTCCAGGAACTTACTCTGTAGCCCAGGCTGGCCTCTAACTTGGAGATCTGCCTGCCTCTGCCTCCCAAGTGCTGGGATTACAGGCGTGCTCCACCTCTGCCTGGTTAGTCTTTTTTTTTTTTTAATATTTTTTTCTTTGCAATTTTATTTTTCTTTTCTGAATGTTTTGTCTGCATGGATACCCATGTACCTCCATGTTCAGTGTGCAAGGAGGCCAGAAGATGAATTCAGATTTTTAGAACTGGAGTTGCAGATGGCTGTGAGCTGCCCTGTGGGTGCTGAGAACTGAATCTGTGTCCTCTGGAAGAGCAGCTAGTGTTCATAACCACTGAGCCATCTCCCTGGCCCCCAAACTAGTGTCTTAAATGACATCTATTTATAATTAACTTAGACTGTGTTTAAGGATTTTAACAAAGGATGGCATTGGAATTTTTCTCTAAGGTTTACTGAAGGTTCTCATATACTCTGGATTTTCCTTACCTTCTCTTTCCCACATAGTTGGGTTCCTGTATTATGTGGCTTTATCTAGGAATTAAGGGTCCATTCAAGAAAACACACTTATTTCCCAAGTGAGACAAAAATAACGAATTAGTGACTTAGATGGAATGCATAGGTACATGCTCATTCTTCAAATCTATCATTCTCACCTTCCTTAATCGAAAAATCTGTCAATGCCTGAAATGTACAAATCTGTCATTTTGCTTAAATTCAAAGTTCCAACTCCACAGCAGCCTTTGAATCTGAGATCCTCCTACCCCAGTCTCCCCAATTACAGATGTCTAACCAGATTGTGATTACTTGTTCCATAGCACACCTCTTCCCAAATCCAAATCTGGCCGGGATTAATAATGAAAATCAGACCCTTTGTATTAGGAATATTTGGAAACCGTGTCTTAAGAAACCAAAAAAGGAGAGAGAAAAAGGAAAAAAATAAAGAAAAAGGAAGGAAAGAAAGAAGGAAAGGAAAAAAAAAAGGAAGAAAATTCCCAGGAAAGGCAGAAGGAGGGCAGGCAACGGAATCCACACTGCGGGGCGGCTGAGACTACGGGGTGAAGAGGGCCGCCCATTGCTTTCGTCACAATCCGCCGCCGCGCCGCGCCGCCCCCGGTTGCCATGGGTGCCGGGGAGGCCACCACGCCCCCGCCCCGCGGTGGGCGGTGACCCGCGGCCGGGCGGCGAGCCCCGCAATGCCCAGGGACCGCGGCTCCGGGGGAGGGGGCTTGACAGTGCTCCACGAGCCTCACTGGGGTCCAGTCCCATGAGGCCTGCGCGCCGCGGGACTGAAGCCAGAGGACGGCGGAGGGCCACCGCTCGGCCGGCCCGCGGCGACGGGGAAGGCGCATGAGGCCCAGCGCGGCTCCGGGGATCTGAGGTGAGGCCGGGCGAGCCTGGGCGGCGTTGCCAGAGC